AATTCATCCTAGGTCTTAATCCATTGACTTGACTGGAGTTGCATGTAAGAGAAGTTTGGCTCCCTAGACTTTGAGCACTAAAACAGATAAATTTTCTAATTTGTCAGCCAGGAAGAAAAGATCTTAATCAACTTTATGTGGCTTCCGAGTCTAAAAATCTGTGATTAGTTGCAGATCTAGTCTTCTTAAACAAAGCAGCACTAAAATGCGCTTTCTAAGCTTTGTATGCCTATGTTAAAGAATGTTTTCATGGAAACCTTATGACATACAGCCTGTTTTTAGAACATCAAATCCTCATGACACTTCCAGCATAGCTGTGTATGCCAAACCATGCAATGTGATTCATAAGTAAAATTAACCTAGGAGTGATGTGCCAAACAGTTTGGAAAAATGTAGGCACCTCTGAGCTTGGAATAAGGAATGCTCTCCTCACGGAGAGGAGTGAATGTCACACCTATCGTTACCCATACAGAAGCAAAGCTGTAGAAGGAAGCATGAGGAGGAGGTCATCAAAACCTTTAACACTTTGGAAATATCCTACACACTTCTCTCAAATGCTTCTTTCTAACCTGCAGTATACTCAGAGGAAAGTAGTTAATCAATAATTGTAGTAGTGCTCTTTAATTGCAAGCTAGTGTTTGAGCTAGCTAGAGGTCCATATACTATAGTGTCAATCTTTGTTCATCTCTTCTATGACACTGCATTCAGCTGATGATACTGAAAAATGGGTAATGTTTCATTGACACTTCTTTCTAGATAGGTAGACTTAACGAGCTTCCTCTAACATGTGGCATTGTTACATTAAGGCTGAGTTATGTTAAAAAGCAGTTGGACAGGTCTATCTGTATTCAGCCAAGCAGGATTTAGCTTTCCAGATACTGATATTTCAAATCAGTTCCCAGTTTCTTTTCTTGCTCCACCATACAATTTTCTGTCCCACGCTGAGCCCTCATATACACCAGATAATTACCTACTAAGCCTGCAAATTATACTGCTTTATTGTTGCCAATGATATTTTGACCCTTATCCATAATGAATGTAATTTACATAATTTTTTACATCATCAGTTTTGTTTTGTACTATCTTGCTTTCAAACGTGGTATCTGTCCATCATATTTTCCAGTCCTTTTCGTTCCTGTGATCAGCTTCCTTCTAAATGTCCTGTCTCTAGTTTCTCTCTTATCATCCCCATTACACCAGTTTAACTGTCTGATTTCTGCTAGTGTTGACTGAGAAACTACATTACAGAGCTTGTTGAATCTTGTTCTTGTTTCACAATGCTCTGGCTTCCCCCAGTACCGCTTTTACATTGTAAGTGTATGTATTATAAGCATTATAAGAAACTTGGGGATTCCTTTCTGTGGTTAGGAAGTCCATTTTAAGTCAAAGTACACAGGCAAGCATGCATTACTACATGTGTGTCCAAAAGATGCTTGTTTACTGAGCTTGGTCATTCAGCTAAGCTGAAAGGAAGAAGAAATCATGCCTTAAAGTCAGTCAGCATTAAGCTTTCTTTCATCAGTTGTCACCTTGCCAGTTAGTCCTTTCCTGGGACTACTGATTTTTGTGTCTCTCTTGCTTATCTATTCAAATCTTTTCTCCTTGCCCAGCTCCACAGATATGGAACTAACTCACCACAAACCTCAGAAAGCTATTACCCTCAAAGCAAGATGGTTGCCAGTTCTGAGCCCAGTTCTGAACACAGTTCTGTAACTATGGATGTGTCCTTCACTATTTTGGAAGCTTTGCACAGCAGATCAAAGAGATTCCGTATTTTTAGTGAAAGAAACCTGCATTCTCATGGTCCCCAGGGTTAATGGAACACGTACCCCAAAGTACATTGTATTTTCTGATTTCCTCATGCTGTAGCAGTCACTAAAAAGGCCACAATCACACACATATTTATCACTCAGTCAAGTGAATTTTTTTTACACCCTTTCTTAGTGTTACTCCTACACATTGGTGGAGTTGAAAGAATTTTGGATGAAGGGGACAGAAGTTTTGTTAAAAAGCAATTATGATCAGGAAACTCTGTTCAAGAAGCTAACATTCCCAGCTTTCTTCTTAATACAGCACACACATACACACATACAAAAACACAAGGGGAGAGACAGTTCAAACTTACTCCTTGTGATTTATCTTTTATTTGTTAGTTTAATTTGTGAAACTGAAAGCTGAGCCTGATCTTCTTATTGAACTTGACTGCTTGGGACTGATTTTTCTCTATGGGCCTTCTTTCTCCCTGTCACTACTTCCCTTGCCCTTGGGGCATCAGTGTATGACTTCTGGACTTCTGTGTTAGCTCCTCTAAGACCCTGATCTGGCTACATGAATGAGTCAGTAAATCAAGTGTGCATTTCTGTCTGGAGCACTACAGTGTCTGATAGCAGGATATTATCATTGGAAAAGTCTGTGAGAACATAACAGCTCCTGTATTGATTGTCATTCACATTAGTAGCTTATTTTATTATTTTATAATAAAGAAAATCAAATGTTGAAATAGAAATTTCAGTGGAAAAGCTTCAGTTTTGTTGGGACAAAAATAGACCCAAGTTACAAAGATACCCATCATCCAATTCTGTGGAATCAAGTGGTCCCTGAATTGGGTGTATAGGCATCCTGGCCATCCCTGGATACTTCATGGGATGAGTCATTGTTCCTGCATTCTCTGATCTGCCCTTGTGAGGCTTCAGTGACTTTATAGTGTCATCTTCTAATTCAGCTGGTTGTTAAACGCCTAAACTTTGATGGCATGAACACCTTGTCAGTTTTATGTATGTGTCAACGGCATAGGCATGATGTGCTGTTAGAAGGATAGTGTTGTGGCCTTCTGGAGAAATACATAAAATTAACATTGTGCACTGAAGTATAAGTCTATAAACAAGCAATTCAGTGTTGACCCCTTCTGAATACAAAGCAAGCCAGACTGAGTTTGTATACAGGTTTATATCCATAGGAGAAGATTATTTCAGTTGTTTTCTTTGTATTATAAACTAGGAATGATAAGAGAAAAATTAAAAATCTTTCTCATGTCCAGGGATCTTGCTGACATTTTTAATATCAAAAAGATTTATCAAGGCAAGTGCCTGGAGAAATAAGTCTCAACATCTTTATAAGCTAGAGAAGTCTTCAGAAAGTGTTGCTAATATCTAGGGGAGAAGATATTTCCTGTCTGTTTTTTGACAAAACCCCCAAACTTCTGGCACTGTTTTCTCTTTTAATCAGACTCCTCTATAAATTTAGGGGCTGAACACAATACAACATTTATAATGGCATAAGCTCCATCAAGGGAATGCCTCAAAACTGTTGATTAAAGCAGTGAGTTTAGACATGAAGCATAATAGAAAACATATGCTTCCCAAACAAGGTATTTCCTACAGCTTTAGAACAGATTTGTCTTCTATAAACAAATCATTTAGTCCTTTGGAAGCTCACATTGCTGTCATGGACAAGAGACCCTGCGTGGCACCACGGGTCGAGGTCTTGTTAGGGACTGAGAACCTACTGAAGGCACTAGTGAGGCAAAATGGTCTGGCAGTCACAGTTCAGGGACCTTATGAACTGGGTGACTTCTTATTTTCATGACAAGGCTGTCCATAACAAGAGCATTCATTTGTACATCCTTGTTCCTATGTACTTAATAACGCATTGTAAAAGCTTCTTCCTTCTGAAAAATCAGCAGCTAGTGTACCAGAAATCCAAGGGAGAGGAAGACAAAGATTCTTCACAACAAAAATCTTTGGAGCTGTCGTCCTTGGATGTTGAGATAGTTTTCATTTGATGATTGTGCCTATTAATTCAGTGAGAAATATCATAAAGGGTGTTGACTGCAGTAAGAAATGGTAGTAGTGCTCTACTCAGCGTTGTTAAAGTAGATAAGGAAGACAATGAGCTGACAATTGGAAAAAGTGGACCATCTGTGAAGCTCGGAGTCCTTTAATTAGATGCTGAAGATGCAAATAGTTCTTTTAAATATTTAGAAAAGCATCACAGATTTCTAAAATGCCTATAAAAGGATAGGCGACTGTCTAGACTAAGGGTATCTGTTTATGATACTGCAGATATTAGGATGCAAATACATACAGTATGTCTCTAAAAGATGGATAGTTTTCCTTTCTTTGGATTGGTACAGTCCCAGCAAAGGAAATATATTTCCGCCACTGTAAGTGAGAGGTAAATTTGACTATATGAACAAATTTAGATTCAGAAATGCTGATGAGATCTAAGAATTTTCAAGATAAATTTAAAATTACAATAAACTGTTTCTCATTCCACTGATGTCATTGATGAATAAAGTGTAGCTTTTTCACATTTCCTTTCATCTCCAGTGATCTTTGCAAATGTTATTTATTTAACTTTCAAAATCCTCGTAGATATAGGTGAAAACTGAAGCATTAGACTTAGCAGGCTAGTCATACAACATGAATAAGTATCATTTAATAAGGATGTCTTGGTAAAACAGAAGTGTTTATTCTAAGGTCACAGCAGAATCATTGTCAGAATCTGAATTAGAACTGAGCTGCTCCTGGTTATTTCTATAATAACCTAAATGAACTCCTTTCCTCTCTGTTCATGTATGGATGTTTTTGGTTTATAGGATCCTATGTTCACTCATCTCAAATACCTTCAGATATCAGCATGAGGTATCACAGCCATCAGTGGTTTTAGCCAGTTTACATAATCGATCTTGATTTCCATAAAGATAACTAATGTTCTCACTAAGGAGTTAGCACTTTCTTTTAATTATAGAAGTACAGTATTTAAAAACACTTCTCTAAAATTCAAGGAAAGTAACATATCCCAAAATATGTTGTCTTAAAATATAAGCAACCTTCTGTATGATTTAAAGAAAGCAATTTTTTTTCTTATTTGGTTTTAATAACCAAGATCAAGAGACTTCTGCTACAGATTACTGAAACATGCATCAAAATATCTGGATAGAGTTAGGCATACACCTGCTGTTACAGAAATACAAAATGACAAGTGCAGAATGTGTTTACCTGACTTCAGGTGCTGGGATTCCTACCACAATGCAGTCCAATTGCACTTTAGTTCCTTCAGGAACTTCCCTGCTCTTCAGTTTTTGAGTAAAGCGTGGTGGCTGTCCAATAGGCTCATCAGAATACACAGATGCAGATTCTGACTCTGATTTTAGCTCTGCACTTGATAATTGATTGATAGAGTCCAAGTTTGCTGCCTGTTGATCATCCCTTTGTTCAAATGTTTTCTTGTTTTCCAAGTCGTGCGGTACTGGAATGGAAAGCCTTTCTCTGTTTTCTGATGTGCTAGATAGGCTAGAGCTACCTTTCTGAGCAGGCTTATTCTTAGAATCAGTTTTGCTCCTGTAGTTTTTGCATGTTCGGGGTCTTATTCTTTCAGAGTTGTGAGCTTTGAAAAGTGAGGAGAGTTCCTCAATAAAATCTGCTGCCTTGTTTAGGAATTCCTTTTTTGATTCTGATTCAGAAGGGAGGTGTTGTTTCTTTAGATCTTGAGAGGTCCCTTTGGAGCCCTTTGTATTTCTGACATGGTCCGGACAAAAGTTTGAGTGCAGGCCATTGTCTGATGTTTTCAAAGCTGTAGACTGGGCCATTTGTTTGTGTTTTCCTGTGTTTTTCAGCTGATCTGGGGGATGCTGTGAATGTGCCTGAAGCTCATCTTGTTTAGTTTCCAGAGGATTCTGATCGATAGCTTGTCTTGCCAGGTTTACACTTTCATCTAGCTCTTCTTGGCTCAAAAAGGCAGAGAGATCTGGAAGGTCGTCCGGGGCAGCTACCTCATCTGAATCACCAGAAGCGTTGCCATAGTGGAAATGATGAGAAGCTGGTTCTGATCTGCTTCTTTCACTCTTCCCTTGATGTTTAGTTTCAGCTAAATAACTTTCTCTCAGAAGCTGAGATATTGAAGTTGAGGATTCTAAACTGTCGTCTTGCATGCTGCCAACAAAAAGGACAAATAAGACCACACCTTATCAATAGCAAATTTTTTGATTGCAAACAATTACAGGCCTCTGAAAAGCAGAACACAACATTGTCAAGGTGCACCTGTGTGCTGAATATTAACTTGTAAGTGTGGCCTTGTTGTAAAGGCCTGCTTCTGTCCATACACCAGATACTATTGTCTTTACCCAGTAAAATTAATCTTTTATCACTTTCTACCATTGGTAGCCTTACAGAGCTAAAGCAACTGCAAGTGGTAATCTATATCTTTTTCCAGGCAAAAGTTCAACTACAGAGCTATTAACTGAGTTTCAGTGTCAAATCTTTATCCTTGCTAATGTGTGTTTCTTAGCTAAGAAACAACCTGATCAGATAGATTAAATGCTGAGTATTTCCAGGACTGAAAGTTGTGAGAGAATAACATTACTTTTAAATTAAGTGAATTTAGCTTGAAAGACATTGAAGTAGTAAGTAAATAAACCCTCAAAAGCATTTGAGGGATGGGAGAAGGGGAGAGAACAAAAATAGTCTATAATGACAAATTTTCATTTAAAATTCTTTAAAATATTACATTATAGGAAGCAGTAATGGTGTTAAATGTTCTATACCTTCTTAAATTAAACATCATTTCTAATAAGCTATTTAAAGTAAGTAGAGAATTATGTAGTTATTTGATAGGAACATCATTTGTACTACAAGCCTTTCAAAATCATTATCTTGGATCATCCTGATTCTGAAAAAATGTACCACAGATGAAAAGACAGTATCAGAAAGCCCATACTTAACCTGTGTGCCTGATAAGCAAAGCCAAAGTAACCCTTTTGATATTTAAGTACTCTGCATAATATTCTCCCTTTTATTTGCACAAGAGCAGTTATGAATGTAAAGGGATTCAGACATCCTATTAATACACTTATCTTAAGATGGCTTAAACATGAAAAAAAGTAAGATAAAGACTCTTCACAACCTTTTAGGGAGCTGATACCTTGCAGATACTGAAACAAGTGCATGACTATTTACTGGATCTGTCTCTCAGAATATGGAGTGCACAGTGTCTCTCTCCTACTTCATTTATGGCCCAGCAAGTCTTGCTGTGATGGTTTCAAGTAATCCTTTCCCAAAGTGTCTGATTCATTGCACTGCAGAAGGTTCTGTTCCTGTTGTGGCATCAAGAGAAAGGAATATGCATGCCCTTGCCTCAGCCCTTTCCATTCATACCCTTATGTAACAGCTTAAGTTGCCAGAGAAAGAGAAGAAAAGTAAAAAAGGTATCTGCTGTGAAAGGCTTTCTACTCTACTAGCAGGACAGTTGTCTGTGGAAAAGGGCTGGTAAAAAGCAAATGAGCTGGTAATATCTTATACTGCTGCAGTATTTCTTCCTAGAATGTGAGTGACAGCCCTTCTTCCCTATTTACAAAAAGGAAAGTGTCAATTTAAACTGTTTATGTTCTTCTTCAATGAATGAACATAAAGCTATCATATTCTGATGTACATTTTGAGACCTTAATCCCTCTGCCTGAGGCACAATTTGTTACTTTGAAATTCTTTTTCTTACAGAAATATTTGGCATTTTAGATTTATTGATTTTGCTTTATTTTGGTACTATGAAACAAGCAAAATCAGTAAGACAACAAAGGCATCCAACCAAAATATTGATGAGGTTTTGCCTGTATGAAAAATGACAAATAAAATACCATATAAATTATATGCTTCTAAGCACCCAATCTAGTCCCTGAAACTGAACGAGGGTCTGCAATACTAATTGAACACTTGGTGTTAAATTATGTGGCACACTGTTTCAGTGAAGCTGTGGCACATAAGAGAACATTGATAATGTTGTAAGCTGTTTCATGACTGGACAGAGTGTGTAATTTAACCTCTTGAGAGAACAAAAAGGACTCCATGAGGCTTACAGTTCCTGCTCTATGGATACTACTTCTGCTTGCTCAGCTTTTACTTCTTGAACAGCTGTGCAGCCTTACTGAAGCTGAACATGTTAAGGGGTTGTATTATCTTATGTGCTGATAGCATACTATGTGCTGTAAAGGTCACAGCCAAAGCTACGGTTTCAACTCCAAAAAGTTTAAATACATTCTAATGTAAGGAGTTTACAGCCTGGAAGGCAAACCTGGTGCAGGAATGAACTGCAAACCTAGAATATAGCTGTAACATAGAGCAAGTTTGCTTTAGACCTCCTCCCCGTGTGCCACCTCGTATCTCCTTAAAAACGGAAGGGAAGAAGCAGAGCTATAGCCGTCTCTTTTCTGCACCATGCAGCTGGCTTAGCCTGCAAAAAGAGAGCAATGAGTGTGCTTCTAGTGGGATGTCGTAGAAGGTACAGTCCCTTGGAATATCTCTGAAGTGATGCAGCTCTATGTTAACCTCTCTACATGTGGCCACGGCTAAATGATAGCATCCAGCTGTATGTACCTTTGTGTAGCTTTAGATGCTACAGCGGAAGGCTGTATTTTACCTAGAAGCATGTGCAAAATTTAGCTTGCAACATTTCTTGGCCACTCTGAAACATTTCATCTCAATGTCTGTAAAGGTCATCAGAGCTGAAAAAAAGAAAATATAGAGCACTGGACACTCTAACAAGCAAATGCAAGTAGGAAAATAATACTGTGTGATCAAAACCTGCCGAAGTCAAATGAAGTTAAAGAACTCCTGCAATAATTTTGTTGAGGGGGTATGTGAAAGTCATCTGACCATCACTATTCAGGGTTTGTTTTTCCTCTGTGGTACAGATTTTGCTTGATTTTCTCACTTAAGTTCTATGTCTTTCAACTAAGGTTGTTAATCACAGGGCAGCTTTTCTGCAGATAACCAGAGTAAAGCAACTGTTTGGTGTGGTTATTTGAGACTTTGTTCTGGGTCTTGCATATCTTCTATTCATCTTTTGAACAAAGCATTGAAATATGAAAGAAATAATTTCTTCTAATGTAAGAAATAATTTCTACTAATTCCCTTAAGGAGTGTTACTGGAGTATGAGGAGATGCTCTTAAAGAAGATGTGTTTAAATTGGTAAAGTAGCTTTATAGTTCTAGTTTGCAAAAAAGTATAGTTAAGAGGCCACTGTCTGATAGCAAAAGGAGGAAAATTACAGGCAAATTACTGCAACATAACAAAACCAGGGGTGCCTATACCTAGTGAAAATATAAAATGATAGCGGAAATTAAAGTAGTCAAATCAAAACTTCCTTGTACTGGTGGTTCATTTTGGCTAGCTGCAATGCAGTTGTGTAAAGTATCTTCCATTCGGATGGCCAGGCTATTCAGCACAGCCATACACGGAAGAGCAAAACCCACTTGTCTATCATAGTCCTGAGTGAACACATAGGAAGCAAATGGACAAATCTCTGGTTCAACCCTGTCTCTGCCCCTCTGAGGGGCAAAGGAGCTGGAACAACTTCCTTCCTTCTGCCCATCAAAGCAGAAGAGGTAGAAGGGAGCAGAGTCTTCCTGCTGGTGTTGGGAAGCAAGTTATTGATGAGAATGAATCTGATGCCAGATTCTTAATCCTTAGAGCCGTCACTTTTCTTTAGAGCTCACCCAGGGTCAGAATATTATATCTAACTCTTCTCTATTTTCAGCTGGTGTAGAAGATAATTTTTTATTCTATTTTTAGTAAGGAAGAAGTTGGGTACTAGTCAAATGTAGCACTTTGAGGCAGTGCTTGGCTACTGAAGTTGTAAGATATTTTGAATTATGTGATATTTCTAATTAAATGGAAAATGTTGAGTTTCAGCGAATGTCGCAGTGAGGCTACCAGACAATCCAGTTACAATTATTAATTATGCCTTGCTTATGCCTTGAGAGATATCCAGTTTTTGTTTTGTTTTGTTTGTTTGTTTGTTTGTTTATTTTCTACGAGGAGTTATACTCTCCAATGACAACAGTGGGTTGATGATTGAGGGAAGCACAGGGTAGGCTGAGCCATTCATTCTAGTCTTGAATTCAGGCTTTCTCTTTGCCTGACTTTCTGGATTGTTTAAACTGAGATGTGGAATTGGCCTTAATATGCCTTGAGCCTTCCCTTTAATTTTTCCTTATTAGGACTTTGGAACAGAAGTTTCTTTGTGGCTGCTCAGAAACCATCCCACGGTCCCCCAGTGTGCAGTGGCACAGAACGCTGGCACTGAGTGGTAGTGCATGGCACACTGCTGACATATCATGGAGCTAGCAAAATGTGTACAGTAATTGTAGATATCTCTGTTGAGCAGGTAACTGGAGATAACTCTGTTGAGTAAGCAGTAAGAAGGACAAACTCTAGTAAAAACACAGTAGGCAGCAAACTGTGGTGTCAATGAAAGCACCAATAATTTTGCAGACTGGAAAAATCTGTCTCATAATGAACCAGTATCAGGCGGAAGAATTGCAATACTAGTTACAAATAATAGCTCTAAACTGGTGTTATTTAGGATTGAAAATGGGATGACTGACTCCAGCAGTTAGCAGTTCTCCTCTCTTGACTGGTTCATTACCTACAGCACCAAACAAGTGCATTGAGGTCAACATTTTTTGCTTTCCTGGGACACTAACAGCAGTGACCTCAGGCACCTATTATCTTGAGAGGCATGAGAGGATGTCATGAACAAAACTGACTCCATGAACTTCTTCAGCCTACTAATTCAGTTTCCGCTAGCCAACTAATTGCACAAGCTTTCTGAGTTTTCAAGAGCCTATATTTATGGCAACGCTCTCTTATTAGCTAAGTGATTTTTAGGATAAAATATTCACAAATGTAGAATTAGTTTCCACAGTTTGTTTTGGCAGTGGCTTGACCTGAAGGTCCTTATGTGGAAAGGAGGAAAATTGCATGCAGGAAGCTTGCACAGTGTGACACTGAACCCTTTCATTTCCTCTGTTCTGAGGCTTGTTAGACTCATTGCTGAGTCATCACTGAAAGAATCTGAGCTTTTCATAAGAAAACAGCAGTAGTGAAATCTCAGCAAAGCTGAAGGGAATCCCAGATATATCTGAGTGCAGATCCTGT